AATCAGGGAAGCCATTGAAATAGAGAAACACTCCCATTACATGAATAAACGGGACAATGCCTCCCGCCTACCACACATCTGGAAACTAGCCCTTACCAACAAACAAGTCCCAGCCACGAAAACCAACACCGAACCCAAAACAACACATGACACCACCACCATTCTCCCTCACCACGCTCAAACCCAAACCCATCCCATAGACGAAAGACAACCACCATCCAGAAATCAGGCCACGGCTGCATCACCAGCTGCCACACACCCTGACCCCCAAACCAAGCAAACGGACACATGCCATGAACACATATCCAGGCCTCAAACTCGGAGCCAAACCAAAACCCAGAACGTCATATCACAGCCACCTGCTCAGGATATCACATCACAGAACTCAGGAGGTTACACCACAAAACCTCAGGATGTTGCAACACAGCCAACCACCCAGGGGATTACAGCACAAGACCCAGGATGTCAAAACAATAGAACTCAGAAGGTCATCACACAGCCCATTACCCAGGTCATTACAACACAGGAGGATGATAGACACACAGCCAATACCTCAGCCACACATGTTCTTATGAAAAAGCCAGCCAATCTGTAAACATCAACTCCATCAAACAATCAAGAAATGACAACACAGCCAACCTCCCCACCAGTATATTTAGGGAGACAGCAGCTCTGATCATGCTTTGCTTGCACAAGCACAAAGCCAAAAGCACCAGCCTGAAGATGGCGAGTGGGACCTCATCGAAACGTTGCCAAGATGCTCTCAATCTTACACGGGAAAAGACCCGAACACACCAAGACCTGCATATATGTATATTCTGTATACAGAAGCCTGATGATGGCAGATGAGATTCTGCTGAAACGTTGCTACAAGTTTAAAAGCACAACTATAATGATGTTGGAAAATACCCGAACAAAGCTGAATACCATACATATAAATACCCGCGAAAACTTAAGAAAAATAATAATATATAACTTATTTAATTATAACCAAAAATATATAACAACAAAAACAGAGCTCCCACACACAGTCTGGTCTCCTGTCATCTCATATCTCCCCCAAGAGTTAGGGGAGGGAAGGGGGCCGGGCTGGAAGGCTCTCTCCACCTGGAAGCCTCCCCCACACCCCAGGTTTTTAAAGCCTGGCTTGCTTCTCCACTACTGCCTCCTTCTCCTCCTCCAGCACCTCCTCCTTCGGGTAGGGCGATTATGAACTAACTTTTTTGGCTACACTGGTACTCCAGCTGCTCTTTTTCCCATGGTAAGATTGGTGTATGGAGAAAGGAGCTGGCAGCTGCTCCTTAGTGGTCCCGTGGGCGAGGCAAAGTCATCCCGGTCCCAGTTAAGACATACCAGTCACAAACCCAGAGTCCAAGCCGTGGTGCAGGCGGCTCAGCACAGTGGGCAACCTCCACTCTGGGATGACAAGCCATGTGCTGAAGACCAGATTGCTATCGGGAAAGTGGGGCAACAGGGGTGATACTGGCTGTGGATGGACTCATATGTGTGGGAGATTGCGGCATAGGCCTGGCCTGCGAAAGGGTGGGAGTGGGGGGAAAGGAACCTCTGAACTGATGTTACCTCCTGCCTCTTGGCTCCACGCATTGAGGAGGTTGAGCAGCTGCCAGCGATGTCCTCAGGGAAAGATGTTGCAAAGGGGACGCTTGACCTCCCCCAGGAGCTTCTCTTCCTCCTCAGCAGAAATGCTCACACACAAAGCATTCACCGCCCCTCTGGCCCCCGACAAGCTGCCTCCTTCCTGCTGAACATGTGAGCGCTTCTGGTGAGGAAGAAGAGGGGGTTGAGCCTCCTCTTCCCAACATCTTCACCTGAGGGCAGCTGCTTCCTGCGGCTTAGGAGGTCCACATTTTCCCACTGCTGCTCGGCTTCCTCAATGCGCTGAGGCAGGAGGCAGCTGCCACAACACGGCTTTGCTAGGGAGACTGCAAGATTTCCCCACCTCAGCATGCTGCCGCCCACCAAAAAATTTTCACGGCCCACCACTGGACTAGATTCAAAAGAAAAGGCAGAGCAATTTTATGACCATTATTTTAGTTCACAAGAGGAAGAGAGAATGAGGGAGGAAGAAGAAATTAGACGTCGAGAGGAATCCATAGGAGAGAAAGACAAGCAACAAAAAGGAGATGAAAGAGATCAGGAGGAAATAAGAATAAGAGAAGGAGCAAAACCAAAAGAAGCAAGAGAGACCAGAGTGATAAGAGCAACAAAACCCAATTATAAATAAAGCCATGGAACAGGAAATAAAATTAATATCAATTAACCTAAACAGATTGAATTCGGCAATGAAAAGGAAAAGGACTTTTAGCAAATTAGAAAAATTAAAATTGGATAAAATTTATCTAGAAGTTCATATTAAAAAACAACATAATAAAGTATTGGAATATCCTAAAATTGGAAAACTATATACCTCCCTCTCACAACAAAGCAAAAGAGGAGTAGCACTCCACATTAAAGAGAAAATAAATGCAAAACAATTTTTATGGACGAGGAAGGGAAGGTTTTAATGGTGGAAATAATTATGAATTAGATACTTTTTGTGGCAATATATGCACCAAATAATAACCAAGAGGATTTTTATGATAAACTTCATAAGAAAATAATAGAATTGGAATATGAAAATATATGTTTACTAGGAGACTTCAATGCAATAGTGAATGCGGAACTGGACTATAAAACAAAAACAGGAAAACGCTACCAAAAATCTTTTTTAAATTGGCAGAAGAACTAGCCATCCAGGTCGTTTGGCGATAAATACCTTCCAAGAAAAATCAATATACATTTTGTTCAAGCAGACATTTGTCTTGGTCCAGAATTGATATTTATTTATTTATTTATTTATTTGATTTGCCAATTGTTTACAAGATAATAAGTATAAGTGTATACATAGTTGTGAATACATGAAATGGGTACATATAAGATAAATAAAAGAAGAATAAGAGAAACAATAGGACAGGGACGGTAGGCATGTTGGTGCGCTTATGCACGCCCCCTACAGACCTCTTAGGAAAGGGGTGAGGTCAATAGTAGACAGTCTAAGGTTAAAGTTTTTGGGGTTTGGGGAAGAAACTACAGAGTCGGGTAGAGTATTCCAGACATTGACCACTCTATTGCTGAAGTCGTATTTCCTGCAATCAAGTTTGGTGCGGTTTACTTTGAGTTTGTATCTATTGTGTGCTCTTGTGTTGTTATGGTTGAAGCTGAAGTATTCATTGACAGGTAGGACATTGCAATGTATGATTTTATATACCATGCTTAAATCAGACCGAAGACGGCGTAATTCAAGGTTTGCTAGTTCTAGAATTTCAAGTCTGGTGGCATAAGGTATTCTACAGCGAGTAGAGGAGTGGAGAACTCTTCTTGTGAAATATTTCCGGACTTTCTCAATTGTGCTAATATCAGATATGTAATGAGGGTTCCAGACTGATGAACTGTATTCGAGTATTGGTCTAGCAAATGTTTTGTATGCTCTGGTTAGTAGTGTGATATTACCAGAGAAAAAGCTACGTAGGATTAGGTTAACAACTCTTAATGCCTTTTTGGCTATGTAGTTGCAGTGGGCTCTAGCACTTAGATCATTAGAGGTGAGTATTCCAAGGTCCTTTACAGAGCTTGGGTCATCAACAAGATCTTGACTATTCAGCTTGTATTTTATTTTCTGATTTTTTTTGCCAATATGTAAGACAGAGCATTTATTTGTTGAGATTTGAAGTTGCCATTTGTTTGACCATTCTGATACATAATCAAGATCTTTTTGTAGGGTAGCAGTATTGTCTGTGGTATTGAACAGCTTTACATCATCAGCGAAAAGAACGCAATTGCTCTTAATATGATCACAGAGGTCATTTATGTAGAGTATGAAGAGAGTTGGTCCTAGAACACTGCCTTGGGGGACACCACTATTGACAGGTACAGAATTTGATAGGACGCTTCCAATTTTGACCATTTGTTGTCTGTTTGCCAGGAATGCTTCTATCCAGTTATTCAGTTGTCCAGAGATACCATAGGATTTTATTTTTAGGAGTAGTTTGTCGTGTACCACGACAAACTATGATGTGAGGAAACTATGATGTGAGGAAACTATGATGTGAG